AATTTAATTCATAATTTTGGTATTTCAATTAAGTTAAATTTCTTGTTTCTCAAAAATTTATTAGACAATTTTAGATTACACTTACGTATCCAATTACGTACCCAATTGAAATGAAACTGAAAAAAAGCTTAATATTTATTAAATGAGTTCGTGAGCGGTGTTATCATTTCTAGCAACGTTACAGTTTCGATGTTGCTAGATTGAAAAGTGAAGGTGGATAAAATTAATTAGGTTTTTGAAAAAAGATTTTTTCTGCTGTTTACAAATATATATATATGTATAACTATATTGTACTAAATCAGTCAAAAGCCTAAATGTTGCCAATCTATTCTTATAAAAAATTCATAATCGAATTTTAATTTTTTGTGATAGACAAAATTAAACAAAAGTTTTTAAATAAAAATAAATAAAAGTTTTCAGTATACTTACGCATTCATAAAGTTAATTGAATTTTGAATCAAGAAAAATTTTTGAAAACACTCAATATTTTTTTAATTTTTGAAGAAATTCATTTTTTTAATACACTTATTATAATAATTACGTAGTACAATGTTAAGTATGTATAATGTTACAAAAATATACAATTATAATAAAATACCTAATAATGTAAGTCATATGATTTTTGTTTCTTTCACTACCATGTTGATCCATACAAAAACCTCTCTATATTTTATTATATATACACATACAATTATGCCTATAATAACTTCTACTTATTATATATTTTAATTATAGTATATTGTATATAGCTTCTTTAGGAAAATCTATTTCTTTAATTTTCTATATTTATATGTATATACATTTTTTTAATGTACATATGTATGCATATATATTAAAAGGACTTTCCATTTAAATATAATATATAAAATAAATGCGTTTATGTAAGTATATACATGAATACTTATTTTTTTCTTTGTATACAAGTACAATATTTTATTTGGTATGAAAGGTAGATCCTTTTTCGATTTCTCTATACATACATACATATATATATTTAACTTAGTGTATATATACAATTGAACAGCTTATTCAACATTAAATGTAAAGAGATACGTAGATAAAATAGATACACATGTAAGGTATGTAGAAAAAAAAAATTACGTAGAAACGAAGAACCATGTATCTGCAAAATCAGTATCATTTTATATTTCAAAGTATTTAGTCATTTTACTTAAAAACAATTGTTTTTTTTTTTGAGTATAATATTAAGAAAACAGAAGCAAAATATTAAAATTCAAGTTACTTAATTATTTTGCGAAATAATATGTAAAGAAAATAAATGAATAAAAAACAAAATTAAAAAAATTTAATTTGTTCAACATGAAATTGAAGATATTTAAAAAAAAATAAATTAAGAGTAAAATTTAAGAAACAAGTTTTTATTATAAAAAATAGATTGAAAAGTTCCTATAACTCTACTCTTATATCATTTTATAAAATTTTAAGTAAAAATTCTTATTTATGTATTTGAAAATATTTTATTGCATAATCATTTGAAAAGTGAAATTTTATTCAATTTAATATTGAAAAACAAAAATTTTGTACTTTTACCAAAATATGATTAAAAATTAAAAAAAAAAAGGACGCTGCTCATTAAAATACGACGAAAAATCAAAAAAAAAAAATAAGTAGAAGTAAAATAAAAAAAAAATGAAATATTAACTAGAGAAAGAACTAACTAGAACAAAAATTTTACATTACATATTAATTTGGTGCAGTATTAAGGATAATAAATATATACATACATATATATACGTGTATAAGTATATAGATAAATATACTCGTATATATGCAATCATTCAGTTTCTAATGTAACCTATAATTAAATATATACATATATATATAATGTATGTGTTTGTGTAAAAATTTATATTGACATTATAATGATGGTATACTTATCGAGAATGGTATGATGAAATTTCAATATCTAGATCAAATTAGATTCAAAAGAAGAAAAATAAGAGAGAGAAAAAAAATAGAAAAACTCAAATAAGTTCTCGTTGAAAAAAAGCATATTTTTACTAATCGGTTAAGTAAAAAATATATTTATTTCATATAAATAGTTAGAAAAATTTAAAATACTTAATTTGTTATTCAAAAAATATATGCAATTTTTACACAAAAAAACAATTACATACTTACAATTTATTGCTAATTAAAAGACATTCTTAATAAGATTTTTTATTTTATTATCCGATTAGGATTTCCTGTGATATTTGAATTTACTTATATGTACATACATACACACGTATACATCGTGCATACCTAATTGTACATAATATGTTCATATGTGTATATACATATGGATTTAGGTCAAATGTATATCATAAAAAATTTTCTTTATCAAAATTTATTGGATTTTTTGACAAAGAAAAAAAAAATCTTGTACCTTGTAATTTAAAAAAAAAATTGAAATTTTTCAATTCTTTTTAATTTAATTCACTTGAATTTTGCAATTAAGTATAATGTACTTAGTGAATGTGATGGGTTTGCATTTTTAAAAGGAGATAAAGGATTTAATATTGTTGCAATATGATACACATCCATGCATACATAATTATAAATAATATAAATAAATTATTTTGACTGAATTCCGATTATGTGCTTTGTCGGTAAGAAAAAAAATTTGTAATAATGAAGAGTAACCTCATACTAATTACAAATTTTTTCATATTTAAAAAAGAGAATGTGTTCATTGCTTTTTTTTTTAAATTAAACGAAGATGAACAAATTTTTGAAATGCAAATTCAATTAAGTAATCGTAAACTTGTAATTTATTTCTTTTGTTTCGGAATGTAATTAGTATTTTTAGAATTTCTATTAAGAATATGTACTTACATATGTATGTACATATTATATGCACTGATGCATTGTAATGAAACAAAAATTTAATTTTTTTTTATTTAAAGAGAATTTTCTAATATTCAATGTGTAAAATAAAACCCAAATCCTTTGTTCTTAATTAAACAAAATTTATAATTAAATTATCTATTCATTGATTTAACAATTACGTAACCGTATAATTCTAACTAAAAATAGAATTCCTCATGAGAATTGTATAAAATAAACCTTGTTCAGACAATAAGAGATGGGCTGTGTATATATTTTAACAAAAAAGATTATTTTATTAAAACACAAATTATTTTTGTGAAATAAATATTAAAAATTAAAAAATGTATACTCTGTGTGGGTCATTTGAATTTCTTTTTATATTAAAAGCTATTTTAAATTTTAATAAAAGAATTTTAAAAGAATTACCTTAAAAAAATTCAGAAAATATATTGCAAATACATATACATATATATATCTATGTGCTATCTATATATATCTATCTATGTGCCTTATTTGCACACGTAGTATTTCAAATATATTATTTGTTAAATATTGAAATATGAAATTTAATTAAAATTAATTTGTATTTATTTATTTATGGGCTTAATATAATTTTATCAATATCGAAAATTTAATATATGCACCTACATACATTAAGTATTATAAATAAATTACTATTGTTAATTAAAAAAATCTTCTGTTGGCCACGTACACGTTATAAAAATTTTCTAATTTAACAATTTTGATAAGATATTTTTTTCTCTTATCAAATAAAATGAAAATTAATATTCATTTAAGAAAATTATACGCTATTTAACTACACTGATTATTTAAAATTATCGAAATGTTGAAAATGCATATATTTAGGCGGATGAATTTTTGGGAAAATTTTGTTATACTTATACGATTTTTCATACATCTTTTCTTAATTAAAATATTTTACTTTTCACAATTATGTGAAATCTTATGTTTGCCATTTATAAATATGTATGTATGTATGTATGTATCTGTATTATTCAAAATTACTTATGTATGTGTACATCAGTATTTGTTTTATGTTGCGAAATGCAAATATAACAACTACTTTTTACACATTATTGTTTTCTTTATTGCAACTGGAAATATTTTAAAATTCAAATGTAAGAATTATTTCGTTTTCCTATTCAAGAATATTTAATTTTATTAAAACTAGCATCACCATGTAATTTTTAATTTGAATACTAATTATTTGAATATTTAAATAAAAATATGTACATATGTAAGTATGTAATATTGATTTAAAAATATTCTTTCGATTATTATTTATTACTTACTTACTTAGTTTTTTTTTTCTATGTTATAAAAAATTTAGTAACATAATAACAATTATAAATCAAAGAAGAATTTTAATTAAATTTTATAGTGTTCTATAAAAGCATTCGATTGCAATTAGCGTAGGATGATAGTCATCTATTTATAGATATTGAATTTAAAATTAAAACGAAATTTATTATACTTAAATAAAGAAAGTTATATGATTTTCTTATTGACGAAGCGAAACAATACTTTGCTTTAACATTTTAATTTGATGTCTAGTATTTTAAGCACGAAAACTGTAAAAATTCTTAATATAGACTTGTAATAATAATTAATTGAAAAAATTTTTTGGTTGAAATTATTTTACACATGACATGTCAAATTATTGCGTTCCTAAATTATATAATACATATGTACACATGTATGTATATAAAAACTATTTTTGAGCATATTCAAGTTTTATAAAAAAATTAATTAGCATTTAATTTTAATTCTTTTAATTAAATTTCAGTAAATTTTTTAATTTTGTACATATTGCATTATCGTTTAAGTGTTAACAATACTATGAAAAATTGTTAAAGACTTTATTTTGAATTTTTTATACTCTTCCAGTGGTGCTTGTAGTAAGAAAAATCTTGCATAAAATATTACTTTAAATCTTGCATAATATTACTTTAAATTATGAGGCAAAATTCATTTCATTTGAATTTTGTTTTGAAGTCCATACATTTACATATGTATGTATGTATACAGTTTACAAAAATTCTCGATATTACTAAAATTTTAATATACATAATGTACATAAATGTCAATTTATGTTGAAATAATTTTATTAATTTTATGAAATTTTGTTTTTTTTTATTTCTTTTTAGTTATTTTATATGTAAATAGAAGAAATAATAAAAATAAAACAAAAAAAAATATAAAATGGCACCAAACGCTACAACTGCAACTCAACCTCCATCAGAGGCTGAAAATAAAACTAAAAGAAATATCGAAACGACAGGAGTATTAATGGAACAAGATGCTGAAACAATCGATGGTGGATTAGTTAAGGATATTAAAGTACACAAATATGCTGAAAAGAGAAAACTACACTTGGTTTGGCGTAATATAATCGCATTTACATATTTACATCTCGCCGCTTTATATGGTGCATGGTTGGCATTAACTTCAGCAATGTGGTACACGGTATTGTTTGCTTCCTTTTTACATCTTGTAGCTGGATTAGGTATAACGGCTGGTGCACATCGTTTATGGGCTCATAGATCTTATAAAGCAAAATGGCCATTAAGATTAATATTAATGATATTTAATACAATTGCATTTCAAGATGCAGCTATTCATTGGGCTCGAGATCATAGAGTACATCATAAGTATTCTGAGACAGATGCAGATCCTCATAATGCAACAAGGTAATTAAATGAATTCCCATTAAAATTAAATATTTTTTGTACATATAATTTATGTAATATTATCAAAAGCAAATATAATTATTAATTAAAACAAAATTCATAGGGGCTTCTTCTTTTCGCATGTTGGTTGGCTCTTATGTAAAAAACATCCGGAAGTTAAGGAAAAAGGAAAAGGATTAGATTTATCCGATTTATATAACGATCCCATTTTGATGTTCCAAAAGAAGTAAGATGTTTTCTCTTTAGTAATGAAAAAATGATTCTAATTTTTTTTAATAATATTATAGACATTACATGATTTTAATGCCGATCGGTTGTTTCATTTTACCTACATTTATTCCTTGTTACTTTTGGGGAGAAACATTTGCAAATTCATGGTTTGTTGCAACAATGTTTAGATATACATTTACTTTAAATGTAACTTGGCTAGTCAATAGTGCTGCTCATAAATTCGGTGGCAAACCATATGACAAGTAAGTATTTGAACAAATGCATTGAAAATTAAAATTTGAATGACGACAATCTTTATTAATAAATAAATTTTCTTCTTTTCAGAGATATTAATCCATCAGAAAATTCACATGTTGCAGCTCTTGCATTCGGTGAGGGATGGCACAATTATCATCATGTATTTCCTTGGGATTATAAAACTGCTGAATTAGGAAATTATCGTCTAAATATTACAACAGCATTTATTGATTTCTTTGCAAAAATTGGTTGGGCTTATGATTTAAAAACAGTATCAACTGATATTATTAAAAAACGTGTAGATCGTACAGGTGACGGTACACATCATTTATGGGGCTGGGGTGATAGAGATCAATCAATAGAGGAAGTAAATAATGCTATAATTATAAATAAAAAAGATATGTAATTAATTTTTACTGTAAAGCAAAACTATTTTAATTAAATTGAAAAAACAAATCAGATATGTATAAATCATAATGTATTTTTTCATTATAGACTTTAAAAGCTAAGTGCTTTTTAATAGATGGATTAAAATTATTAATAGAGTTAAGATTTTTTTCTAATTTTCTATATAACGTCAGCCAAACAAAACATTAACAACCTTAAACAAAATAAAAAAATGATAGAAACAACTGCATTACTATTTATATTATAAAATTATATTATAAAATGTTGAAAGAATGTTATATAGAGACGATAAAAATATTAAAAAACATAAAAAAAACACGTACACAATATGGTTAAAAATTTAATTAAAAAAACTCAATCAATTTTAATTAAAGTATTTGGTATAATTTTTCTACCAAAACTTTGATTTATAGAAAAACAATATTTTTTTTAGATTCAACAATTTCGGTGAGATTGCTTAAAAAGAAAAAAGCAGAAATTTTATTAAAATATCAATTTTGATGTATATATTTATAACTATAATACTTTATACACATAAAGTTATAATAATAACAATAATTTTTAAATTACCTAATAAAAAAACATCACGAAATTTTAGCAGTAGTTATAGTAAGTAGCCTTACTATTTCTAAATGAATTATTCATTTCGGAATTCTCATTTAAAGAAACAGTTTATTTTAACGCTTTATGAATTTAAAGTGATTTAAGTTTTAATTTCTTAACTCATATTTTGTTTCAATTAATGAAAATTATGTTATCATTTAATACATATATTTAAATTTTGATATTAAAGTGAAATCACTTCTAAAAACAAGGAAATTAAATGTTTACATTGAAAAATAATAATGTTATCTTTTATTTGAAAAATTCTTGGTAAATTTATTATTTTTTAAAAATTATCTATACGTACATGTATCACATTTAACATTACAATATCTTTTTTTTTTTATTTCATTTCTTGATCATTTCATTGAATTTTATTTATTATATTTAGCTTAGTAATAAATAGACATTAAAAATTAAAAAAATTTTAATTTTGTAATTGAAAATTGCAGAAAAAATGTTGCAATAATAAAAATTAAACATACTTTATAGTATTGTTTAAAAATATAAATTGTAAATTATTATATTTTTACAAAATTGCTGAAAATGGGTAGAAATTTATTAAAATTAACAATAAGAAGAAAATTATATTCATGTTAAAATAATTAATTTGAAAATGGGTTTCGTTTTATTGAAAAAAAAAAATCATAGATGTAAAAGAAAAACACAAAATTACTCAATATTAATTTTAGAATAAACTATAAAAAAAAATAAACAATTATTTTAAATTGAAAATATTATTTAATTATAATATTATGTATGCTAACTATTTTTTAAATAGAAAACGCAACTCTACTTGGATCGGGTTTTAAATATTTTCAATGCAAATCAAATAACTTTAAGTGTGGTTTATGCCATACATACATAAGTCGAACAATACGGGAAAATTGGTTTTTTTTTTTTCATTTTGCGAAATAAAGTTTTTTTTTATTTATACATATAAGAAAAATATAATTTTTTATATTATGTAAGGTATAAATCACAACTAAATTATATAAATTCAAATTTTAAATACAAGATTGTTCCAAATAATAAAAAATAATAAAACTTTTTATACCTAATAACTTTAAAAACAGTTTTTGAACAAAATAAATCTCTTCTTGTTAACGTAAATATGTCTGAGAAAATCATATCAAATGAAAATATTTAAAAACTTTTTTAAAATAGAATTTCATCTGTTATTTTTATATAATAATTGTAAATTACATTTATGTCGTCCATTTTATTTTACTATGTATTTTATATTATAAGAATAACAAATATTGATGCAATCGTTTTAAAAAAACGTTCTTACATGTAAAAAATTAGATGTTGAATGCAAAAGTCGCAAGCAAAATGCATTATACAAAATATTCGCTTTGGAATCCTACATGTAAAATATACTTAAAGGTCGTCTCAAAATCTTCTAATGGACTTTAAAAAGGCAAAAAATTAAATATTTTATAATTATTACGGAAATGTGAATAATTTGCATTCAACAGCTTCTTTTTCATAGCAAATACCATACAATATAAACTTTTTTGATGATTTTTTTGAAACCAGCCAAAATGGATAAATGGTTTAAATAAAATAAAAATTACTTATAAAATTGAATCATCAATATTTTAAAAAAGAATTTAAGAATTAATTCATTACACTGAAAATTAATAATTTTAAATACAATACATATTTAACAAATATAAAGTAGTTACATTCTTTAATTAATTCCAACAAAAAAAAAATCAAAAATAAAATTAAATATAGAAATTTATTATAATTTTAATATACCAATATCAATAGAATGTTACCATTAATTATTTTTCTAATTATATTTTTGTATGTAAATCAAAACTATCATGTAACATATAAGTTTATATTGAATGAGTTCAAGCCACAGTACCAAAAATATCCTGCTTAAATTGTTAACATTGTTCTTTATTATTAAAATGAAATACATTCTATAAAGTAGCACTTTGCTACTTTTTTTTAGTTTTAAATGCCCTGTGATGACTGTTGTCAAAATAAACAAAGATATGAAATAAATAATAAAAACAGTATAAAGAACTAACATTTTTTTTCAGTTTTACATTATTATGTAGGTATTTGAATAAATATTTGAGTTCCACATTGTAAAACAGGTTTTTAATATAGTACTCGTATTTAAATCATATGCATATATGTACATATTTGATAGCTTTACTCAGAAGTTTTTTAAAGAAAGAGACATTCAATTTGTTAGTTGAAATGTTTGCACTACTGCTGCATGTCAATGCAAAGAAAACTTAATAAAAATCTATTACACTTCCTTTTATAAGTTGCATAGATTAATAGATTGCCTGCATATTGTAAAATGTATTAGAACTCTATACACCTCCCTAAAATGTAAAGAAAAAATTTGAGTTTTTCTCTTAATTAAGCATTAAATTTTTAAAAAATTTATTAAGGTTGAGGAATTTCTCAAAATTAAACCAAATTTAAATGCAGAAATTAACAAACGTTATAATATGTACATAAATATACATACATATGCGCATACATACAAACATCAAGTTAAATTATTGAACTTGGGTAAGTTTCACTGCAAATGAGCAAAAAAACCTATATGATTGATTTTCTGGATAGAACTGAAAACTTTGGATATGTATGTATTTATAAAATAAAAATTCGTGTTTGGATACAAGACTACAGTGTAGCGTAACTTATAAATTTTAATTCACATAGAGTGGTCGTAAAAAATATTGATGAAATGTATTTTTATTTTGTAGCTCAAAAATTATAAACGGTGTTTTAAAAAAAATATGTATAAAGAGTCAGATCCTTTTTGTAAGCTTGGTAAATCCTTGGTAATATTTCTCAAGGAAGCCAATTTATAAATGCCATGTTCTGCACAAAATAATTCCCTTACTCCATACTGAACGACTGCAGTGATTTTTTAGTATGTGCTAAGTTTAAAGTTGTAGCTCAAAAATTATAAGGCTCATTTAATTTTCATATTGGCAAATATTTTATTGAAAAATTATGAAATGGATTTTTAGAATTTCACGGAATTAAGTTTTATTTCGAAGATGTGGCAAAAAATTAAATGAGCATACAGTTTTGGTCGTTTTGACTTCTTTTTGAAAAATTTTGTTCTTTTTTAAATAATTTATTATTTAATTATTTCTATAAGAGTATTTAATTATTTTTATCCTTATTTTTTGTTTCTTCCTCTTTTGCAATTTCTTCTTTTTCCCAGTCTGCCATAGATTTTTCTTTAACATTTTCGGTACCTGTACCTCGTATTTTACCTTAAATTATAATACATGTATTATTTTTAAAACAAGTTATCTGTTGTGTATTTTACCTTCGCTAAACTTTTTGATTCCTATTTCCATTTCTTCTAGAATTTCTTTGCTTGTGTACATTATTTCGTTTTGTATAGCTTGATTAAAATTGTGTGATTCAAAAGTAGCCGAATATAAAGAATTTCTGTCATGATTCAATGCAGCTTGAGGAAATTTCGCTATTGAACCAGCTAAGTTCACTGCTTGACCTAAAGCAGTTCCAGTAGCGACTACTCTGTTTACTAAGCCCATTTGATGAGCTTCCGAAGCATTGATTTGTCGACCAGTTAAAATTAAATCTAAAGCTCTTGAAAAACCTATCATGGAGGGTAATCTTGCAGTACCACCGTCAATTATTGGCACACCAAAACGTCTGTTAAAGAACCCTAAAGTGGCACTTTCTTCCATAACACGAAGATCACACATTAAAGCCAATTCTAAGCCATTTGCAACACAATAACCATTGATAGCACATATTACGGGCTTTTTTAAATGTCTTCTGGTCGGTCCCTATTTTTTATCATGTTAATTACGCAAATATTAAATAATTAAATATCCAAATTTCGTACCACAGATCCTTCTTGTAACATTAGTAAATCAGTGCTAATATTATCCCCGGAAACTAATTCATGAATGTCATATCCTGAACAGAAAGACCCTCCCACTCCATACAAAACGGCTATAGTAGATTCTTCATTATTTTCGAAGTTAGAAAACGCTAAAATTCATTAATAACGTAATAAGATTTCGATAAAAAATTTTGATGAATCAATATACCTTCACATAGAGCATGAGCAGTATCAGCATTAACAGCATTTCTATGATCAGGTCTATTTATGCCTATTAAAGTTATGGGACCATCTGCTTCAACTAAAATTAGTGGCGGAGGCGTTGGTTGACTTGCTTCTTCTTTATTTTCATTTGAATCTTTTACGTCACTAGATTTTTCTCCTGCCGGCTTTTTGGCAAATACAGCAGTAGCTTTATGTAGATTTCGAACGCTCTCTGATGCATTTGGCAATTTAATTTTTTGTGATAATATTTTTAAGGTATTTCTAAGCATCATTATTTGTGTAAGAAATCTTAATGTAAATCAAAATATCAAAATATATTGTGGATAGTAATACAGTATAAAGCAAAATATAAAAATTACCCTGATAAATACAATTTTCCACCAGACTAAAATGTCAAAAACATATGTTTTTGTTTTAACGCAGCCACTATTTAGACATTAATTTATGTGTACCCTCTACAGTTGAATTTCAGAGTTATTCAGTAGTCATACTTGAAATTACGATATTCTTTGAAATTCAGATTATTTTAACCTATAAGGTTCTACACGGAATAGAATTAAATTTTTATCTTATTATTGAAAAGAATAACATTAATTAGGTTTTAAGAGAGTTATTTCAATAAAAATTATTATTTAATTTTTTGACAGCTTGTATTAATTTTAACATACGTATACTTTGATGTTGTGCAAAAATATCCGGGTTATTTGTTATTCATGCTAGGTGTTCATACATATGCGACGACATTTACTTTATCTGACAATAGAATTTACTGTATTCGCATGAGATTTACTATCTGATCTTGTAAAAGGAGGATGGTCATCATCAATTTTTTGTGGAAGTTTTGAGCGACGAACAGCCAATTTTTAATTTAGTGATAATTTGCGACGGGAAAATGTGATGTTTGCATTCCATCAGAAATTGTGCTGTGTGACATTTTTATTGAACAAATATGATTGACGTTTCCATAAAACGTCAAAAACAACTAAATTAACGTTTTAGTTCCTTATCGCATGCTTTAAAACAATTTTTCAATTTTTAAACAAATTTCTAAAAATTAAACGTAAAAATGAAATTTAACTGCCAAATTTTAGCTGCCGTTAATAGTTTCGCAATTTTTTTTATAAGAGAAATTACGAAAAAAATCTCTCGATATGCCATAAAGCATTACGATAAAAAATGATACCTAATTTTGATAATATCATTAATAAAATAAGTTTTTGACAAATTATCATTGATCATCTGACGAAAATAATTAATAACTAGGGGGAATACAAATAAAAAATAATATCTGAAAATACCTAATATGTATTTGATAGCCTTTCGAACAACTTACAATAGTTTTTTTTTGTGGAATTTCTATTAAAGCCAGGTGTACAAAATATTTACATATAAATATGTACATGTACATCGTTCTACAACATTTACAGAAGTATTAAAAACTTTTATTGTAAGTCTACTTAGAATAGTTCCATATTTGAAGTCATCGACATGTAAGTAAAAAATTAAACAACATTCTATAAGTTACCACAATAAATTTAGTTTATTTTTCAGTTTTACAATATTTGAGATGGTATTTATAAAATTATTTATTAAAAAGTATCTTGCTTATTTTTTGTGAATTTTTAAAAAAATGTTTTTATTTTATTTTTAATTTACCACCTTTTAAATATCCTTGGATTTTTTTTTAATTTTAGCATTTTATAAAATATTACATTTAAATATTTTTATCATATTTTTTTTCACAATAATTTCACATACATTAATTGTTTTTTGTTTATTTATTTATTAATATTTTTGTAATCGACATTTATGCGCTTTTATTTTACACTATTTAGCGAATTCTGTTCTATTTTACTATTTATATAAAAAATATTTTTTTTATATAATTTTCGTTCTGTTTTGGTTTTATTTAATCTTAAAAAAGTTTTTAAATAATATTGGATTATAATATAAGTATATATGTATATCAACTAAATAACAATTTTAAAATTTTTAAATTTTACAGCGACAAAAACGAAAAACCAATTCCAAAAAATTTCTTTTGTGGATTTTGTGACGAATTTTAACTAAAGCTCATTATAGGTTTCTACATAGATTGAATTCTTTCAATCTTCACTCGAAAAAAAATGCTTAAGCCCTCCACAAAGATAATTTTGAACCATAAGATTAAAGAGAAAAAAAAATAATAAAATTTAGGTTTGTTTTAAAATTCTTTTTACACTTGATTTCAAAGTTTGAAAGCGTGGAACTATTTTTAAACTTAATAATAATCTCATATAATATATTAACTTAGCATGTGTATTTGTGTTATACAAAGGGAAAATAATTTTGTTATAATAAAAAAAATTTCATTATAAAAAGTTGAATAACACTTAAAAAAGAATTTAATATTGAATAATAAAAAATATTAAAAAAAAGTTAAAAAAAATTATTAAGTCACTTTAGAACAGCGTTTAATTAATTTATCATTTATCTTTTTAGAATTAAATAATGTGATATAAATATAACCATTAACTATCTAATATTGATGTCTAGAAATAATTATTATAAATTTGTTACATATTATATAATACGTATATATACAAAATAATAAAAATATGGTAGATATTGCACTTAGTTTTAAATTATTAAAATTTTGCAAATTTTGCGACAGTCTAGTAATATGATCAATGAAGCCAATCAAATGAATTTGGAAAATTCAGCAATATTTCGAATTATGATCGGCGAATGATCACATTAGACAGATTCAAAATGTTGCTGCTTCATTTAGCAGAAAATTTAGCTGATCTGTTAATTTTGATCTTTCAGCCGTTTTATTATTTTTTAATATCGAAAATAATTGTTCACGCAAATATGTGTTTCAGAACATGTCTAAAACACGCTTAATTGATTTATAGGTAAATAATTACAAAATTTAGTAATTTCCACTTCTCTAAATTTTTGTTAACCTTCACTTAATAATAAACCTCCGCAGAACCTTCACTTTGGATTCAACACTTTCTTCTTGATCTAACTCAATATTTGTAACAAAATTATAAGAACGAAATTTCAAAATTTAAAAAAAAAGTATCAAAAGATGCGACCCGCCTGGTTTGAAGAATGGTTTCAAAAATATGTTTGTAAAAAAAACAAAAATTGTGTTTTTAAAAAAAATATGTTTTATAGTTTAAATAATTCTACCATATTAGTTAATTTACTAAATTTATGCTTGGCTTCCAATTTATCAATAATTTAACGATAACTATTTTATGCATTTTACTCATCCACATATGATTTATTTTTATTGTTATAGTTTTTAATAAAAAATTATTTAAATTTAAATTAATAATATTAGGATTCAAAAAGGTATGCAATTATCCTATTGTAGCTAAATGTCTAGATTAATTGAATTAAATCCCAATTTAATGATGATTTAAACATTTTTCTTTTCTTTAAAATAAATAAAGACGATTCCTAGATAATATTTTACATAATATTGAATTCATGCATTTTCTTCCAAATTGTAAAAATTTGTAAAAATACCAAAGATGTGTTCAAACATAAAAAAAAAAATTATACATTATGAATTTTTCTTATTTTAATTTATTTTCTTATTTATAAAACTACAATTTCCGATTAAACAAAATAACGTCGTTTTTTTTTATTTTCTTTTAACATTAATATTTTTTTAATATTGGTTTATTAATTTTTATTCGTTATGCAAAAAAATAAAATAAAAAGCATAATTACTAAATTATTTACTTAACAAATGCATGTAAGGTGTTATGTTTTGTTAAGTTTCAGGTTTGGTAGTTATATTAAGTGCATTTAATAAAAATAAAAAATTTATCGAATATCGAAAAAATTTGGTAAAAAATAGCGTGCCATATGCTATTTATTGGATTTAGTCATAAATAAAGAGTTTGTTTATTGTAGTTTGTAATTTTATAAAATGATGACAAAAATTTTGAAAATTATAAACAAATGTTTAAAATACAGAAATTCGAATAAAATATTGAATGTAACTTGTATCCAACTTCAAGTTGTTTTAAAATTTTAAATATTGTGTATATACACATTCGATATAAGACATCCTTATACGAATGGAAACAAACAAAAAACCTACTATTTTTACCTACTATAATAAACCTACTATAAGCCATGGCTGCTTGCGGAGATCAAAGGAGAAGAATTCCTTTTTTACAATATAGTTCTCTTCAGTAATCTACAAACAGTAATCTTAAACAAACTAATAAATATTGATATGAAACCCTACTACATTGTCATACTTGGAAAACTAAGTTCATTACTCGTAATAGTTCATTATTCAAAGTTGCGAATAACAACAAGTATAAAATTTTCACAAATTATTATTTATTGAATTAAATTATTTGTTCTAAGACCACGTCCAAACAAAAATACTTTAATGATACTTTACAATAATAAGTGTATATAAATTTGAAGTGTAAAATGAATAAAATTTTGTTCAAATAGGTTTAAAATTTTGCTTAAAATAGGTGTCTGCACACTCATCCAAAAAATTCATTTGGAAATTATATTGACAAACTGAGAACCTTCTTTTGGCCTTCTATAAATACCAAGTAATGAAGTTCATGTTATAAATATCAAATTAAGAGGATACATACATACATATGCATGCATTTTGTTAAAAAAAATTCAGGAGAATAATTTCTGACCATCATTTTATAAAATGACCACATATTGAAGAAATTTCTTGTACACAAATTTAATATGAATATAAAATTATAAAACATTTTGTTATTATGCTTTTAAAATTTTTTTGATGCTTCATTATTATACATTTAATTTTACTTGTTTAGTTTTTTAGTTTAAAATTACTTAAATATCAATTTATAAAAGAACATAAAAATTATTTCTGCTTTTTTTTTTAATTAAATTTAAAAAGATGGATCGGAAAATTTTGAATGATTTTTTTTTTAATAAAGTTATACAATATTATTTTTTAAGCTTTATTATGCAATAAATTGATGTGACAATTTTTTAATTTTATATAAATATTTTTTTTTGTTTTTAATTAATTCTATATTTTTTTCTTATTTTTTAACAGAAAATCCATTATTGTGCGCATTTTTATCTCATTTAATTTAAATAAAGAAAAAATCATCGTAATTTTTGAATGCTTTTGAAAATTTACTTGTAATTAGTTTTTAGATAACGAAAAAAAAGAATAAAACCCGTACCAAATAAAAATTCGAAATAAACAACAAGTCAGAAAACTCGTCCGTGCCATTTGTTTAAATAATACGAAATGGAAAATTGAAAAGAAATTTTAAAATAAAATTTAATTTATTTCAATTTATTATACTTCGACTACAGAATGTGGCAATATTACTATAATTAACTATTTTTTATAAGAAAATAAAAATAAGTAATGCATAATTACATTTTTAAGGAGCAAGGATTTTTATACTGGTATAATTTTTATCGTAATTATTTTAAATTCCCATTTCTAATTAAAATTGCTTATATAATTTTTAGAAGAACAATTTTAGTCCTGATAGTTAATAGATCCGTTTTTTTGCTTTTCCTAATATCTATACACATTTCTTTTAAATTTTAGTATTTAAATGGGATCTATACTTTTATACTAAAAATTTGATATTTAGTAAGAAATTGATTTTTTTTAAAAATCTTAAAAAAATTTATTGAATGGATTTTAAGGATTCCAACCAAATGGATTAAGTTAAGTTACAAGTTGTTTTAAGTTTGTTAATTATTTATGATAGTAAATTACATTTTTTAAAATGTTTTATAATATAGAAATGGGTGGGTGGGATATGTTTAAATTTTTTTGTTTTTCTGTAAAAAATGGACGGGCCGGGCCTTATATTAGAAAGTATAAAAATATAATTGTTTTTTTTTTTTTTTTTATTTATTTTATTTAATTTATTTAATTCACTAGAAATTTTATTGAATGTTAAGAAATATATTTAATAATAAAATGATTTCGGTTTATCATAGTAGAATTCTTGAATATAATAGAGAACGGCATTAAAAAAAATACCTTTTTACCTTTTTTTCAATTGGAATACAATTTTATTATTAAATTTTTTACAAAATGAAAACATACTTTTATTTGATTTTATAAATATTCATGCATCTTCCATTAGAGATACTAGGGAAATTCAGAAGCACAGCGATACAAACAGCGCAAAAATATTGAAAATCAAAAAATTTTTTAACCCGTCACTAATTTTTTTCTTTTCTAGGGTTGTAGCACAAAAATAATGATTCTTTCAAAGTATTGTTTAATACCATTGTTTTTTATAATAAAAAAAAAAAATTGTTTTAATTTTTTTTAATGTAAAAATTTCTACTTACAATTGTAAGTAAATAACACATATTCATCGAAAAAATTTTGGATACCTGCCAAGTGGGCAAATTTTGGATACCCGTCAGATATTTTAGTGCTAACAATGTCACAGAAATAACATCAAATAAATTTTGAACATAAAAAATCGTCATTTAGAAAAAAATACAATAAATATGCAATTTCTAAGATATTGTAAATGATAGATTGGAAACCCGAAAATCAATTCCAAATAAGAAAGAAAATTCTGAATTAAATTTGCATTTAACTTATTCTTAAACTTCAATTATCATAGTATCAACATTGATTTTGTAAAACAACTTTACATTGATGTTGTGTCATTGCTTTTGAATTTTTGTACCAAATTTTGATATTAATGAATTTCCCTTTTACAGGGGGTGTACGATATTGTGTACCCACCAAGATCATATTCAAATAAAAGTTAATAATTTTTTGACATTTACAGAACACTCGTATTATATTTGAATTCCACTATAACGTCTGTACTTCTATAAGAATATTAGACGATATTTAATTTATATTAAAGGAGAGTTTTGCAAAAACAAAAAAAAGAAAAACATAATCAATTTATTGCATTCAATACGATTAAATTTACCATTTTTTTTGTTTTTTGGTTTTCAATTCATTTTGATTCTTTCTTTTATATTATTTATTATAATGTGCTCTTATTCATTATATACATGTAAAAAAAATTCTTATATATAATTATTTTCAACAAATTTGTTTTTTTTTTTATTTTATGTAGGTACTTAAAATTTTATGAATTTTTTTTCTTATAATTTTACTTTGTATGAATTACAAAAAATTTGTTAATTATTTTTTTTTTTTTAATTTTTCTTTTTAATTTTTAATTTATCATGTATGTATTTCAATAAGCTTTTAAGAAAATTTTAATTTTTGATAATTTTTAAAAATGTTTTTGTTAATTTTTTTTTTATTTATTTTTTTTTTAATAAATTTTAAATTATGACTGAAATGGACTTTTGTATTTGCTTTTTGAAATATTTTTTTTTTTAATTTTTTATGGTAATTTTATACTAATATACATAATTACTGATTTGTATATTTGTCGAATTTTCGATATTTTTTTTTTTACATAATATTTGTTAAAGTTATATAACAAAAATATTTTATGTTGATTGAAACTCAATTTAATGGATTTTGTGTTTCAACTTTTAACTATATTAATGCACATAATTGTACATACTACAATAATAATATGTTTGTATATTTTTAAATATTTAATTATTTACTCTTATTAGCAATATTGTGTTACATGTATTTATATAAATTTATTGCAATTCTATCTAAATTAAATGATTTTTTTTGTTTTAGATGGGATTGAATGCAACGTGGTTAGGTGAATGTATTTTTTTTGTTTTGTTTTTTTTTTTTTTTTTAGCTTGTAACAGTCACATTTTTAATAATAATTGTAGACAAATCACAATTAAGTACATAAAAAAGGTTATTCTTTTACCTTTATTATTGAATTATACATTTATTCGCAAAATTATCATAGCTACATTAAAAATGCGATCTTCCTATATATATTTAAATTACAAATTAAATAAATAAAAATAAAATGAAAACATTTTAAAAATTTAACAATTTGATGGAAATTTTTTTTTGCAAATCTTGTAATATCTACATTTACGATATTTCTTTAATAACACTAAATTTTTCACTATAATTTTTAATTTTTAAAAAATTCTTTTTTAAATTTTACAAGTAAGACATATTTTTACATAATATTTGTATATGTATATATGTATGTACATAAGAATATATTTAATAATTTTAAAAAATAAAATATAAGCTATTTAAAAGTTTAGTATTTAAATTTTTAATTTAATATTTTTTTTTTTTCATTTTTGCTATTTTCTAATTTTATTAAACTATAATTATATTAACATAATTTTTGAAATGCCATAATTTTGTTAGTTTATTTAAATTGAATTTTTATTTAAAAAAAAAAAAAAATTTTTTTTTATTATTTTTTTCTACACTTTTATAATTATTAATAAAAAGGCTTATTTTAAACGCTGAGTAACATTTGCTAAAGCTACAGCAAAAGCTTGTAAAGCTGAAAATGGATACTGAAAATCTAATGTATAAGCGTTACCATCGATGCGGCCGAATTGCATTACCTATTTCATTATAAATAAATTAAGAGACAAATAAATTGTAAATTGTAACAAATATTATAAAAATTTTAATTACCTGTTTTCCCCGAAATTCAATTTGAAAATTTTTTGCTGATTCTTGCGTTACACGTCCTCCGAAATCTAATTGATAAACTTGACTCATTTCGTTCCACATTGGTGCTTTATTATGCATAACAAATTCTCTTCGTACTGGTGATATGTTATTGCTAGAAGCATGACCATTTGGTTCAATTTTACCACGTTTCAGCTTAAAAGAAAAATTAAAGAAAATAAAATATTAAAAATTAGATTTAAAAAAAAAATTAGATTTTAAAAATAATAAAATTACAAAATTTTCAAAAATATCTTTTTCATTGAACAAACTAAATATATTATTCATACTTTTTGACGTAGTTGAGCTTTTTGAAATGTTTCCAAGTCTCTATATTGTTTACTACTAACACCACTTTCTTCTCCAGAACCATTAGTCAGATTTCCTTCATCATCAGAACTTTCGATTGATTGTTTCTTTTTTTGTCGTCGATTTAATAGTGGTGAATTTAATATATGACGAATTGGTGATGCACTTTGGTGACGTTTACCCTTTTTACTTGGAGCTGGTGATGCTGGTGAACTTCTTGGTAAACGTTGTGGCGAACATGGTGGTGTATATCGACCTTCATCTAAATCACGTAATCTACTGATAATGTTTTCAAGAGTTGTAAGTGCCTAAAATGTATATTGCATTATACAAATTTTACTTATATTAAAAAAGTTAAGTAATTTTTTTGTTGGTGTATTAATTGAAGTATATATACACGTAATTTATTATATAAAGTGGCTGATTGTTTATTACATTTAAGCGCGAATGTTGATATGGAAAATATTTTTCATTTTAAAAGCTATTTTTATAGTTTTGGATAATAAGCTTTTCTACTTACTTATTGATAGAGCATAGTATTATAGAAAGAAGAAATAGAATAGTTAATGAAAAAATAAGTTTAAAAAAATATTATAAAGGAGAGTAAATTGAATAGCGCACATATTGATATTGATTGGTAATTAGAAAGAATGCACCGATTTACTGTCACCGACAACGTATTGTTATTCAACCATATTTATTTCTCAATTTGGATATTTCTTAAAACTTCCATTTTGGATTCTTACCTGTGTATGTAACGAAACAGATGCTTTTGATTCGACAGGAGTAACTTCAATAGTGTTAATATCACTTGTTCCTCCTGATGAATTGATATGATGATGATTATGTTGATTTTGAATTTGTTTTGATTGCATCTGCTGCTGTTGTTGTTGTTGCTGCTGTTGTTGTTGTTGTAATTGTGCTTCTTTTCTTCGACGTCTAACTTCAGATAATTGTTTGACTAAACTAAAACCATTTTCATTTTTTCTACCTAAAATCGGTGAATTATTCGTACTTTCAGAACCACTAAAAATTCGGCTATTTGAACCATTTGTTTCATTATTATTGTTTATATTATTATTAATATTATTTAAATTATTATTTAAATTTAAATTGCTATTTATATTGTTATTGTTATTATTTATAATTTTACTGCTACTACTACTACAATTATTTATGTTTCCAGAATTTCCGCTACCATTTCCGAATCTATGTTTTCTAGTAAATAATGGACTGTCGGTAAAACTTGTTATCACTTCAGTCTTTTTACGTGTTGAACTGGACATTGATTTACTGACAATTGTATCAAATAGGCTATGATTATTCTTATTTCTACTAAATAATTTACTTGTTGACTGGCGATTATTATAAGCGTTATTTGTTTCCATTTTATTATTGCTAATAAGACTTGGTGATGATAATGTTGTTGTATTTGTTGTTGTTGTTATTGTTGTTGATATATTTGTTAAATTTTCATTATCTAAATTTGAATTTGTTGTTTTAGTTGCATCTAATGTAGTTGTACTTATTATATTTAATTGATTATTATTATTTAAATTATTTATATTATTTGTAAGGTTTTTAAAATTATTTTCAATTTTACTAATAACTTTCGATGGTGAAGATGATGATGATGAATTGTTTTGGCATCGATTACATTTTCCATGATCGTAATTACTACGGCATTTAATACAAAATTTTCGTGTTAGTATTGGTGTTGTTGATGTTTCAGAATCACTAATTTCATTCAATTTTGCCATTAATTTTTCAGTGTCCTTATTTATACTTGATTTTGTAATTGTAGTTGTAAATAAATCACAGGAATCTAAACTTTTTGATTTACCGCTCTGTTGTAATTTCGGTTTGCGTAAATCCTGTAATTAATGTGTTTTCATATATAATAAACATAAAAAAAATTTTGGTGTTTATTTCCTTCCTTCCCCGAATTTGAAAAACATTTAATATTTCGCGGTAAATATTTTTCAGTTAAACATATGTACGTATAGATGCTAAATTTAAAGATTTTTCCCTTAATAATTGAATAATCGTGTGAATATGATTTATTATTAGTTTTCCGTGTTTTTAGTTCTTAATTTTAAGTATAAAAACAGAGCGTATACGCAATTCTAAATCATTTTAGTTTGCCTAAAAAATAAATATTTTTGTGTCATTTTCTATGTTTTTTGTCAATGTCTATGCGAAAATTTGCATAATCGAAAAATTTCATAGAATAAACTTGACTTTTCAAGAGATAGACCCAATAAACATAATTCTGCTCCGTCAATTAGCACTTTTAACAGTTATGAAATTAATTAATTACCGGAATTAATATTAGTTTTAATGTTGGGCTAGAATATTTATTTAAAGAACATTTAAGCAAATTTTGAAGAATAAGAAGAGTAAAAGAAATGAAGTATTATAGATATTATGTTTTGAAGCTAATAACATTTTTCGTAAAGCGATACAAAAGCTATAAGCTGTCAACATTTAGGTTAAATTATGTATTTAAGTAAAAATTTGCAATGACAAATGATAAATGAATAAATACTTACTTCTTGATGATGTTTTTTCTTTTTATGAGGTTTTTTATCAACCAACACTAATCGTTTCGGAGCATCTTTTCGAAGCATTAGTAATGCTTCATCTGATGGTACAATTTCAACTGAATCTAAATAACCAACGCTACAACTTCTTGTAATTGAATCTGGTAATGCTGGTGCTATCGAAACAATTGTGGGGGTTCGTCTTATTTTACCTTCAACTGGAGTCCCATTTGTTGTTGCTGATGTGGTGCCATTTATATTTGTTGCATTTGTTGAAGTTCCATTAGCATTTACACTACCATTAACAGGTGATTGTGTTTCTTCATCAATAAATAAAATTTCCTTCTTTTTGACGCTATTAATAGTATGAGTTGTAAATGTTGTTTTTTCTTTCATTAATTTAGGATCCATTCGTTCTAGATTTAAGTTTAAATTTAATGGAACTGGATTAACATGTGCATTTGTTGAACGATTTTGATCTGATAATAAAGCATTTTTTACTTGTACAACACTATTCGTATAGTCATTGCTACTCGAATAGCTCATTAAAGTAGTCTGTCCTGCTGCTGGTGGTCTATCAAAGATTATATCACTTGGTGCAACAGCATTTTTAGGTGACTGTAGTGTTGGAACAGAACCTTCACAACAAAGCGGTGAAATAGCATGTCTATTTTGTCCGCATGAACTCGTTGAAGATCTACCGTATTGATTTTTAAATGAAGTATAGCTAGGTCCAGGACGTGGTGCTGGTGCTTCAATATTTTTAGGCCTGGTGGGCTTATGATGATTGTTGAGTGTGGAAGAATGTTCCCCAACTTCGTTTGGAGATTCATCATCATATGATTCAGCTCTGGCTAAAGGGCTCATTCCAATACCATTTGCACTAGGTGAATTAGAAGATTGTTTGCTACGTATGCTTGCAAAACGATTTGGTCGAGGAGACATTGGTGCAATAGGTGGTGCGCTTTCATTTAAACGCCGCTGGGCGATCTGAGAAGGTTTTGATGAATTATTTTGAATTGCTGTTTGCGACTGATGGGTTGGAGTTGAAGAAGAGTTGGAATAATTAAAACGATCGATTATGTTTCCCTGATCTTCTTCGTCTTCTGAAAATAAATTTGGGTTGAAATTCGGATCAGGTCCAGTTGGAAAATCATCACGGAGTTCTGTTATAACAAGAGTCATTTGGCGGGGTTGTAAGTGCAATAACGATGTTTTATATGTAACTTGACCTAGATTAGCTGGGACGGTTTTAGCAAGTCCATGTATTTTGAATTTTGTACCCCATATATTCGACGTTACTTCCACCAATTTTACTTCCTATAATATCAATATTGTCAAATTGTAAGCAAGCAAGTTAGAAGAAATATTTAAAATATTAAACAACTTATACCTCTGGTAATGTATCCACATACGCTAATTCATCTACGGTTTCATTATCATTAAAATTTGGTTTTTCGCCGTTTCCACTATAATTTCTACGTTTAACTCTAGGTTTACGTTTTCTGGGAGTCCTTGGTGACCCACGACATTTGTCTTCAAAATCACTTTCAGACGAATCTGTCGGTCCACTTCGGCCTGTTGTTGTAGATTGACTAGACGAACCTGAAGAACTTTTCGAATCTGGAGAACAGTTAAAAAATACGTTTGCATCTAAAAAAAGAAAACATCACGAAGTCTGGTCAAAATTGCTATAATAAAAAAACTGTATACGTTACCATTAACTTGAGGATCAAATATAACAAATTCAGGTCTTATTTTTGAAGTTCTTTTGCCCTTTAGTAATGGGACTAATCCACCTAAATATTCTAGGTAAAGAGTATAACATGTTCCTGAACTTAAGTTTGAATCATCATCATGACGTATCATTGTACAATGCAATCGTGTTGAACATACAGGTGGACGTGACACGAATTCCCTTAATGATTTTGAGTCAGGTACACAACACTAAGTAAAAGTATAAGATGTTAGAAACATTCGTTTTAATTTTCGTTCTATTTTCTAAAAAAATAATAACATTTCTAGTATAAAAATAATTAAAAGAAAATTACCCGTATCGTTTGAGCAAATAAATTTCCAATCAAAGATTTTATCCTTGATGGCAAAGGCAACAAAGGTAATATCATTTCTGAACCGATACTTGCTTGTATTTGTAAACGACATAACAATTGTAATGAAGCAACTCTACGTGAAACCCATGCAATATGAACTTGAGTTCCAGTTGCAATAAATAATCTTTTATCATTATGACCCCATGTTAATGCTGAAACTGCTGTTGTAGTATTTGGTATTCTTGCGGTATAAAGTAGTGTACCATTTTCAGTATAAAATTTTAATAAATTTTCAAAAATTGGTGTTCCTTCTGGATTAATCATATGTTGAGAATTTTGTGATGTACCAGCTACAGCTAATAATTCCCTCGAATTACTCCATTCCATAACGAAACCCAAAGCACCATTTAAACCCGTATTTATATGAGCTGGTGACACATCATCAAATGATTTTAATAAATAAATAAAACCATTTTGGAAACTAACAGCTAAAACAAATGTACGTTTGGCTAAAATATAAAAAAGATTATTTTTTTTAAAAAAAATTATTTTAAATAAAAAAATTTCTACTATATAACAATTTTTTTTTGTGGAAAACTAAAACTTACATGCGTTTGTAACACCAGGTTCGGCCTCTTCTCCCTCTTCCATTTTAAATTTTTCACATGACCATGCCATTGATGTAATACCAATGTCTGAACATAATTGTACCTGAGATACCATTGCACCATGCACATCCATAACAATAATTTGACCATGTGTCGTACCAAAATATACTTGTTGATCATCTGGAGTCCATATTCCACATGTTATTGTTGATTCTAAATTTAACATTGAAGACCAATATCGTTGACCAGCAACAGATCCTACTAATACAAAACCATCTTGATAACAAATTAATGCCATTCTACCATCGTGTGACCATGAAAAATGTGTAACCGGCGTATTACGATCATTAATTAATTCAATTGACCATCTTCCTTCATATTTTATCCAAACAAATATAATACCAGAACTATCACAGGATGCTAATTTTTGATAAGGTTCATTCCATTTAACAAGAATTACCTAAAGGGAAAATTTACATAGAAATAAGGGAAATAAATAATTAAAACCTACAAAATTTTGTTCATAATTAGTAGGATTTTTATAATTATTTTAAAATTAATGAGGTGATGTTAATAGAATAAAATGTTCACGTTTATCTATGTGTGTGTAAATTGAATTGGTGTGTATTTCATGTTTTCTATTTAAAGGAAAATTACAGGAGTAAAATTTATTAGAGAGTAAAAACATGAAATGAAAAGGTGAAAAATAAATTTTCGAGAAAGTCAACAAAGTAGAAAATTTACTTATAATTTAATTTTCATGTTATTCGTTTTTCTATCATCCATATCATAAGAATCATTTATTAATTGAATGTGCTGCAAGATTACTGGCGGTTCTGATGAATTTCATAAAAAGATTTTATTACTTTGAGTTTAAATTATTTCGTTTTTAGCTGTAAATGTATTAATTTTACAAAAAATATGGAACTAGATGAAACAGTCGCCACAAAAGTTATTTGAAAATAACTTATATACATAATATGTACTTCTTGCTTAACGGAGAGTAACAATGGTTGGCTGCGACTTAAGGTTCTAATATTGCTACAGATTTGAATACTATAATCAAAAACTTTTGTCCTAACCCCTTTACATGTGTAGTCATAAATACTGTTTTGAGTTCTTTAACATTTAAAAGTAAATGTGATTTCTAATAGGAAAAAACTAAAATCTTTTGAATGTAAAAATCTTCTCCCTTCTGACAATGTAACAATTTCTAGTAAATCATCGATCGTGCTGCGTAACGTTGCTTAGTTAAAAGTTTGAAATTGGCTTAAGTTTGAAATTGACTAATTCATTTTTAATTTAATAATTGCATTTTTAATTCCATATACCTCTTGGCTTATAGTAAAATTTGACAGTTTTTAAATTAAGGTATGTAGTATGTGGACCTGCTGCAACCGTGCACATATCGTATTCTTCATAGTTAAAATTTTAGAAGAATTCGTCAATGCATGCTCAATTGATATTTTTTATACAAGCATATACAAAAGTTTAGATGCTTGTACATATTTATTAGAACACGAAGTAAAACATTTTTACAGTTTTCATTTTATTTCCATTTTATATAATATGTTTTTTTAACTTACGTCTGAACGATGTCCTCTTAAATTGTAATTTGTCCGCAAGGGATAATCCATATTCTTTTTACAATGGGACGTTGTAAAAGTTACTCCGACTATACCACGTATGTTACCTGTTGCTAACCATCCTTCTTGATAATAATTTGTACGATTTAATTTCCAACCATCATCCTGCAAAAAAAAAAGCAAAACAAAAAATTAAAATTAATATTCTGTTAAAATTATTACTGTTATTTAGTGGCAAGTATAAAAATATTTTATTTTTTGCTTGATAAATTTTTTAAGAAGAATTTAATAAAATAAAGGTAATTTATATAAGAGTTAAGTAACGTTATTTGATATAAATACGCTAATTTTTAATGTCACATTTAAGTGAAGTGATGATAAAAAATGAAGGAAGTCACCCTTAAGTCATTTTAAATTTTTTTTTTTGCTATTTTGGCAAGTGTACTGAATACATGCTTTATTTATAAAGTGGGGTGAAATATGAAAGTAAATCAAAATTTTTTTTCAACAAATGTTATGATGTAAAAGGATAATTTAATTTGCGAGAAAAATGAGGAATTGAAATAATTGGTTCAAGTCCTATTTTAAAATACTAGTGAAATTTTGAATTGGAAAAAAATTTTGAATCGTTTATGTTTTATGTTTTCGAAGTATACTGATTGAAATATTTTCGAAGTATGCTGATTTTTTTTATTTTTTTTTTGTGAAATTTTTGAGTATTCTTTATGAATCTCATTTTGTTTAGTATAGTTTTAAAAGCCATCTAGATTATAATTATTATTTTTTTTTGCTTTTTTCTTCAATTAGTTTTTAAATTCTATTTTTCATTCAAAAATTTTACTCTATTATTCAGTACCCTTCCATTTGCAAGACAAAAAAGGTTGTCTGCGCTAAAAATTGCAATTTTTTTTTTAAATGCATTTTCCAGGTGGAATGCATTTTCCAATGGATTTTTTTGAAATTTAAATTTTAAATATAAAAAAATATGTAGAATCAGTAGAGCCAAAAATATTGATAAATTTTCAGCCACATCTTCCATTTAAACTCCAAATAAATTTCGAATTTATTTTTGATTTACTCTTTCCCAGCAGCTCGGGGGCAGACGGTTGAAGAAGAGAGAATCAAGGCGACTGTCGATTCGTGTGCGGAGACCGTTGTCTCGGAAAGAGGAATAATCTGGGCTTTCCACAGCTTCAAGCTCTTCAAGTCGGAAGATCCAGATGACATAGTGCCGGCTGAATTACAAAGTGCTACGGAGGTTATTTTTCCCTGGTTAAAAACTATTTAGAAAGATATATACAAGATTACTATACACATGCATCGACCTAATCTTCATTCCAAAAATCTGTAATGTTGCCAAGGTTGTTTTCATACCTATGACCGGGAAAACTCTCACAGCTGCTCAAAGGACCTTAGACCGATCAGTCTAACATCATTTCTATTAAAAACTTTTGAAAAGCTGTTAGAGGCATACATACGTGACAACTTGAACCCAGGTCTGTTGTCTTCAGCACAACATGCGTACTGCATTGACAATGAACTCTCAGAAAACGAGACTGGTCATTTACACCAGGAAGTACAAGGTGCCGAATGTGGTTCCGCCAACACTTGGTGAGGCGAGGCTTAGCTTTTCCCCGGAGGCTAAATTCCTGGGTCTCATTTTGCATTCTAAGTTAAACTGGAAGTCCAACATCGCAGACAGAGTAAGGAAGGCAACCACTGCGCTTTACTCATGTAGCCACACAAGATTCATTGGCTATACACTACCGTGGTTAGGCCCGTGTTTCTGTACGGAGTTTTGGTGTGATATCCTGCACTTAATACTTCCGTCAATTTAAAACTGATAAGTAAAGCCCAAAGAATGGAAATGATGTGCGTGGGGGGCTATACGCTCTACCCCGACACAGGTTCTTAAAATGCTCTTCGATCTTATTTCGGTGGATATTCTGGCGTAGCGGCTGGCGGCAAAATCGGCCTTGCGCTTGAGAACTGTGACACAGTTCTCATTGGATGGTCCCGTGGACCACTCGAATATACTTCGGGCTGGGGAAGGTATAACTGGCCGGATCGACTGTGTCTCTCCTGCCATTTTATTTACGAAAAATTAGGCACTTCGTTCCCGCCAAGGCAAACCTGGTGGGAGGAAGGCAACACATGGCGCGGATCCATCCATTTCTACACTAATGGATCCAAGCTGGATGACAGAGTTGTAACGGGGGTCTACTCCGGACAGCTTGGCGTGGAGATTTCTCTTCCTTTGCCGGACCAATGCAGCGTCTTTTAAGCGGAGGTGGGTGTAATAGACGAAGTTGTGCGCTATCTAGTCGTTAATGTGATATCTTGCAGGGAAATCAGTATCTTCACCGACACCCAGCGTTGGATTCAGAAACATCTACTTCTAAAACGGTTTCGGACTGCAAGTTGCTTCTCAACGAGTTGGCGCGCCAGTTCGAAATTAACCTCTTTTGGATACAGGCTGCTTATACGCCACGCGGCAGTTGTTGCAATCAAAGATGGACGAACGGAACCACGTGGAACCCAACCAGGGAACTGTGGGGAAGACTGAATCTGCGTCGCACGAAGGATTTGATGTCCCCCTACAGGAGGGATATCAAATATGGGGTAAAAAGTGACTTTGTCATTACCTTAACTTCAAGAATAGAGTACAGAACGAAAATGAATAATTCTAGATAAATAATAATAATTGTTGTGATATAACACAAAGAAAACATTTTATATTTCGTATTCCTAAATACTTTACGAATAAACATTGAGATTGAATTTTTAAGGACACAAAAAATTTCCTTATTTCTAATAATTTCAGGCGTTAATTATTATTCCCAATAATTGAATTAAGAAATTTACATAGAAATTTTTGCACCAATTAATTTTCGATTGGAATTCCTGTTTTTACAACATATGATTATTGTTGACACCTTACTATTAATTTGCAAAGTACTAATTTATGACTATGATTTGTACAATAAATTTTGATTTCCTCGCCACCCATAAAGGGTGACAATTGAAAAATTTCATATAAATTTTATGGAATGATTAATTTATGTCCATTCTGAATGAAAATTTTTGAACTCAATTCATAGTTAAGATTCGAGTCCAATGAACTAAATTATCAATATTTAAAATATTAGGGGATACAAAGAAATCAACACAAAATTTACGTTATTTGCTTTTCAATCTAATTGAATGTAAATTGATTTACATTTTTATATACTTATATATATAGTATTATCTATATAGTAACTACATATATAATTTGCATATTTTTAATTCTTATATTATGTAAACATACATACTCGTATATATATAAAAATTCGTTATTGTCTTGATTTTCAATCTAACGTTTATAGTCTATTACACTATTACATGCATCTCACAACTGTTAATGTGTGTTATGTGTATTACCATATATTTTATTTGTATCTTGAAAAAATGCTTGAAAAGGTAGAAAATGTGAAAATTCAATTAAGATATTTAGAAAGGTAATAAAGAATTTTTATTGAAATTCAATTTAATATAATCGAAGTGAACAAGGGGGAAAAAAAGTGAGAGAGAGAAAAATACATTTGGGAAACTGAAAAATATTTTAGATCTTTAGGGCATTTAAAAAAATTATATTCAAAATCAAATTAATGACAAAGTTTTGATTTTACATTGAAAAAAAAAAGAAAAAAATAAGGAAAAAATTCTATAATTAGCAAAGTCAAATTTATTAAAGAATTTTATTAGAATCCTTTACCTAAAAATATTTTTTCAAAATTTTTTTTGAAATGATGGATATTATTCAATTTATAGGGTGATGAAATGATGATATAATATATGGGTAGGCATATGACCAGTAAATTTTTTGTTTCAAGAAATTTGGGAAATTGCAAAAGTTCTAAAATTATCTACAATGCAAATGCATTTATAAAAATTGAATAAAATTTATAGAAAAAAATTTTCTTTCTTTAATGAGACTTGAATTCCAATAATAGAATTTAATTTACATTTATCGAAATTATTGCTTTTGAAAGACCTTTATTGCGAAATCCGTATTTCTACGTATCTCGATATTATTTGCAAAATATGTATATGCAAAATATACCTGGTTTTCTAGTTTGCAGATTATTTAATTCAGAGCAATTAACTCCTTTTTTGGTTAATCTTATACGTATATGTGAGTATATAAATATATTTGAGTTCTTACTAGATACCTTTTTCCCTTAAACTCTGGATATATAGCTGAGTTATATTGATATTATTCATATATTGCTACTAATTGCATATTTAATGTGGAAGAATAAAATAAGAACTTTCCCATTGTATAACAAAAAAAATTTTCGCAGTTTTTTATGAAAAATACTTATTTTTTCTTAATTTTTACAATAACAACAAAACTATTACAGATATTTTTGAATTTTTGCACTAATAATTTTTTAAATCGATGATGCAATCTGAATTTTTACGGAGACAATTATTTTTATATCGTTCTAGTTGAAAATTATTGAAATAATTGAAAAACCAGAAACTTTTTATATTTTTATGGAAGGTAAATTTTTGGTTTCTAATTAATCTAATTTCAAACTTTTTGGTTTTAAAGTTTTTCAATTAGTATATAAAATACTTTTTTAAATAGGGTCTACTTAATCGTACATGAAAGTTTTTTCAATTAACCATTAAGGATATTGAAAATATTTTGCATACACATAGGTTTATAAAAAGGTAAATTAGTAATATTTTTTTACTCATAATGATAATAGTTTCCTTTTTTTTTTGGAAATAAGGTTTTATATATAGGTATATAATTGATATTTGGAATATTATTCTAAAATTACATTAATTTGAAAATTATTACGGCAAGGAAGTAGAAGTGATTAAGTTTATAGGTACAAGTAAGATTTGCAGGAAAATTGTTTTGAAGTTTTTTATTTTAATTGAATTTGAATAGTTTTTTCGTTCCAAGTATTTTGTTAATTTATTTGAAAACTAATTTTTATTCCTAACATTTCAAAACAATACACTTTATTTGTTTTTCACAAAATATTCTTTAATTTGATTTAGTTATAACCCGTGATACACAAGTATAACGCTGCATATTAAATCAGTTATGCTGCTATATACTCGTAATTCTATATATAAAAATATATTAAAATAAAAAGAG